GTAATCCCAGCACTTTGGGAGGCTGAGGTGGGTGGATCACGAGGTCAGGAGATGGAGACCATCCTGGCTAACACGGTGAAACCCCGTCTCTACTAAAAACACAAAAATAAAATTAGCCGGGCATGGTGGCAGGCACCTGTAGTCCCAGCTATTTGGGAGGCTGAGGTGGGAAAATGGCGTGAACCCAGGAGGCGGAGCTTGCAGTGAGCCGAGATCGCGCCACTGCACTCCAGCCTGGGCAACAGAGCGAGACTCTGTCTAAAAAAAAAAAAAAAAAAAAAAAAGCAAAAATAAACCATTGTTGTTGTCACATTTCCATATAGGAATAAAATGGAAGGAGAATCACGCAGATTTGAAATCCACACTCCAGTTTCTGACAAGAAAAAGAAAAAGTATTCTGTACATAAGGAAAGACCTCAGAAACATTCCCACGAAATTTTCAGAGACTCCTCCCTGGTGAGTGAACAGTCTCAAATAACTAGGAGGAAAAAGAGGAAAAAAGATTTCCAGCATCTCATTTCTTCTCCTTTGAAAAAATCCAGAATCCATGATGATGCTGAAAATGCCACTTCTACACTCAAAAAGAAAAAAAAGAGAAGATACAGTGCTTTGGAGGTGGAAGAGGAAGCAGGTGTTACAGTTGTCCTTGTGGATAAAGAAAATATTAGCAACACACCAAAGCCTGTTAGAAAGGATGTTGATGTCATTTGTGTTGATATGAGCATGAAACAGAAGTTACCAGGAGAGCCTAAAACAGACAAATTTCAGGTACTTGCTAAGTCACATACACATAAATCAGAAGCACTGCACAATAAAATTAGGGAGAAAAAGAATAAAAAGCATCGGAGGAAAGCTTCATCCTGGGATGCTGTGCAGGAGAGCCAGCGGGCAATGGATGCCCTGCCTCAGTCGGAATCCCACCAGGAGGAGTCCTGGCTTTCTATGGGTCCAGGGGGTGAAATGACAGAACTACCAGCATCTGCTCATAAAAACAAGTGTAAGAAAAAAAAGAAAAAGTCCAGTAACCAGGAATATAAGACATTGGCCATGCCTGAAGGATCGCAAGCGGGCAGTGAGGCTGAGCCTGATATGCAGGAATCCCGGCCTGCTGTGGGCTTGGATGGTGAAACTCCAGAACTACTAGGACCTACTCACAAAAAAAAGTCTAAGAAAAAAAAGAAGAAGTCCAGTTACCAGGATTCTGAGGCATTGGCCGTGCCTGAAGGATCACAAGTGGGCGGTGAGGTTGGGACTGAGACGCAGGAATCCCGGCCTGCTGTGGGCCTACATGGTGAAACTGCAGAACTACCAGCACCGGCTTATAAAAACAAGTCTAAGAAAAAAAAGAAAAAGTCCAGTCACCAGGAATTTGAGGCAATGGCCATGCCTGAGAGCCTTGAGGGTGCATACCCTGAAGGATCACAGGTGGGCCGTGAGCTTGGGATTGTGGAAGGCAGGAAGGCTGTTAAAGGGTTCAAGGAATCCAACAGTACAGAGAAGAAGTCTCAGAAAAGGAAGCTTAAGTCTGTCAAAAGGGCCGTAGTGTCTGGTGATGGTTTTTCAGCGTCCAGTAAGAACTCTGGGAACTCACTCTTTGATTCAGTAGAAGGTGATGGCGCCGTGATGGAAGAAAATGTGAAACCCAGGCCCCGACGAAAGAAAACCCGGGCCTGTTCAGCAAGCAAGCATATGCAAGAGGTGCCAAGGTAACGTGGGAGTGGTATGCCAGCTACTGGTATATTTCTTTTGTATGGATTCTGCCCATGCCTCTTTATTTAGCACAGACTCTTTTTTTTTTTTTTTTTTTTTTTTTTTGAGACGGAGATTTGCTCTTGTTGCCCAGGCTGGAGTGCAATGGTACGATCTCCGTTCACTGTGCCCTCCGCCTCCCGGGTTCAAGCGATTCTCCCAAGTAGCTGAGATTACAGGCATGCACCACCACACCTGGCTAATTTTGTATTTTTAGAAGACACGAGGTTTCTCCATGTTGGTCAGGCTGGTCTCGAACTCCTGACCTCAGGCGATCCACCCGCCTCAGCCTCTCAAAGTGCTGGGATTACAGGCGTGAGCCACCGCGCCTGGCCTCAGCACATACATTTTAAATGGCAGAAATCTTCAAGAGGGAGACCCTCAATATACCCTCAATGTACAGAATATCATACATCTTTGAGTAAACTTGGCAGGTAGTTTAATTTCTTCATGTGTGAAATAAGACAGATTTGATTTTCACTAAGAACTATTCCAGCCCTGAAAATCTATGAGTAAATTTAAAAGCCCCAATTACCTTTGAAAAATAGTCTGAGCAAATAACCAGAGGAAATAGGGCTTAGGGCTGCACGTTTAGCTTCTAGGCTGCCTCTGAGTTATATCCAAGTAATTCAAGTTCCAGTAAAAAGTTTGAAAATCATGGACTGAGTCAACTCCAAGATCTCATCTTGCTTTAATATTCTGGCAGCCTAAGTGAGAGCCATTTTAAGAAAGTTTAAGGCCAGGCATGGTGGCTCATGCCTGTAATCCCAGCACTTTGGGAGGCCAAGGTGGGTAAGTCACTTGAGGCCAGGAGTTTGAGATCAGCCTAGCCAACATGGCGAAAACCCATCTCTACTAAAAATACAAAAGTTAGCCGGGTGCGATGGCGGGCGCCTGTAATTCCAGCTACTCTGGAGGCTGAGGCAGGAGAATCGCTTGAACCGGGAGACAGAAGTTGCAGTGAGCTGAGATTGCACCATTGCACTCCAGCCTGGCGACAGAGCGAGACTCTGTCTCACAAAGAAAAGAAGGAAAAGTTTAAAAGTTATGAGGTCAAGTGATGTCTTAATGTTAGGCAACCCAATTTTCTAACCCCTTAGGTTAGAACCTGCAAATGAAGAACGCAATGTGGAAACAGCTGAAGATTCCGAAACAAGGTATTTGTATGCAGATTCAGGAGATGCCGATGATTCAGATGCGGATTTGGGTTCTGCCATCCGACAGCTTCAGGAGTTCATTCCTAACATCAAGGACAGGGCCACCAGCACAATCAAGCGGATGTACCGGGATGACTTAGAACGGTTTAAGGAATTTAAAGCACAAGGTGAGCTTGTGGGGCCTTAGTGTTTGTTGAACTTCCTGTATGCAGAGCTAGCACCTGACTTTCTTTTATGGATGATTCAGATTTATAGGTCGACAAGAAGCATTCTTTCGCTGCCTTCACCTCTGTCTCCTACTAGAATTGTCTGAGCTGTAAAATTAGCAAAATGAAGTGCTCTTGCTTTTCCTCTACTTTCCCAGTTTCTGGTAAAGGTGGCCAGGAAGAATGGGGCTAAAGAGACGAGATAATTAATTCCCACCAAGAAGAGAAGGGACGAGAGGTTAATTGGTTGAGACACTGGAAAGGATACAACAGTTATATAAAATTAAAATGCTGTCAGATTAAAATCATCAACTTTAGTGAGGTATTGTTTCTTTCTCCAAGATATTAAATTGATGGTGAGCTGGTTGTAGTGAACTTGATCACCTTCTTGATTTCACTGTGTTTCTGAACCTCCCTTATTAAGAATTATTAAGAATAACCTCTATTCTTAAATCCAATAATAAAGCTTATTGGATTTAAGAATAAACTGCAAATGTAAGGCTGTGTACTACCAGTGAGCAGTGTTTACTGAATATCTGCTGTGTAAGACCCAATACAACTGGTCACTGGAAAAAGTAAGAAGAGGAGTCATAGCCTTCCAGAATTCACGGGATTGAAGAGATTCAGAAAAATAGACAAGACAAATTAAGCAAAAAAAGACAGCACTACACACATGCACACAATTGTAATATATAATCCCATTTTATTGGTGTGTTGTGTTGAAATTCTTTTTTTTTTTTTTTTTGTGAGACGGAGTTTCGCTTTGTCGCCCAGGTCGGAGTGCGTGGCGTGATCTCGGCTCACTGCAAGCTCCGCCTCCCAGGTTTACACCATTCTCCTGCCTCAGCCTCCCAAGTAGCTGGGACTACAGGCGCCCGCCACCGTGCCCGGCTAATTTTTGTGTTTTTAGTAGAGACGGGGTTTCAACGTGTTAGCCAGGATGGTCTCGATCTCCTGACCTCGTGATCCACCCGCCTCGGCCTCCCAAAGTGCTGGGATTACAGGCGTGAGCCACCGTGCCCGACCTGAAATTCTTATGAGTATATATTTTATAAAAGACTTTTTTGTTTTTGTTTTTGAGACAGAGTCTCGCTCTGTGACCCAGGCTGGAATGCAGCAGCGCGATCTCGGCTCACTGCACCCTATGCCTCCTGGGTTCAAGCAGTTCTCCCGCCTCAGCCTCCCAAGTAGCTGGGTCTACAGGCGCCTGCCACGCTTGGCTAGTTTTTGTATTTTTAGTAGAGACGGGGTTTCACCATATTATTGACCAGGCTGGTCTCAAACTCCTGACCTCATGATCCGCCCACTTTGGCCTCCCAAAGTGCTGGGATTACAGGCATGAGCCACCATGCCTGGCCCGTAAAATATTTTTAAAGTAAACCTAGGCCAGGTGAGGTGACTCACGCCTGTAATCCCAGCACTTTGGGAGGTCAAGGCAGGAGAACTGCTTGAGGCCCGGAGTTTAAGACCAGCCTGGGCAAAACAGCAAGACCCCATCTTACAAAAAATAAAAAATTAGCCAGGTGTTAGTGGCCCATGCCGGTAGTCCCCGCTACTCAGGAGGCTGAGGCAGGAGAATCACTTGATCCCAGGCGTTCAAGGTTGCAGTGAACTTTGATCATGCCGCTGCACTTCAGCCTAGGTGAAAAAGCAAGATCCTATCTCTAAAGAATGCATGAATAAATTTGAAAACTATTTTTTAAAAAGATAGATGAAACAGGAAAGGTCACTTTGGAATAGGATGGCCAGGGAAGACATTGACACAAGAGGTGTGGCTTGGGCTGAGCCCTGGAGGAAAGGCCGAATCTGCAAGTGGGGACAGGAAAGCAAATGTCAGGTGTTGGGACTGTTGGGCCGTGTTACTGTCACTGCTGACTAAAACCCAAGTCGGCATCCCAGAACCATGGCCCAATTTGTCCGTAACCTTGTGGAGAAGACCCTGGCTCTGGTGAACGCTGCTGTGACTTACTCGAAGCCTCGATTGGCCACATTTTGGTACTACGCCAAGGTTGAGCTGGTTCCTCCCACCCCTGCTGAGATCCCTAGAGCTATTCAGAGCCTGAAAAAAATAGTCAATAGTGCTCAGACTGGTAGCTTCAAACAGCTCACAGTTAAGGAAGCTGTGCTGAATGGTGTGGTGGCCACTGAGGTGTTGATGTGGTTTTATGTTGGAGAGATCATAGGCAAGCGTGGCATCATTGGCTATGATGTTTGAAGACCAATCTTTAACATCTGGTTATATTTGATTTATTATTTGAGTGTTGTTGGACCATGTGTGATCAGACTGCTATCTGAATAAAATAAGATTTGTCAAAAAAAAAAAAAAAAAAAAACCAAGTCATAGGTTTGCTTTTGTTCATTATTAACAATACACACTTTCTCCCTGTTCTTTCCCAATCCTAGGTGTCGCTATTAAATTTGGCAAGTTTTCTGTGAAGGAAAATAAGCAGTTAGAGAAAAATGTGGAAGACTTTCTAGCCCTGACAGGCATCGAGAGCGCAGACAAGCTGCTGTACACGGACAGATATCCCGAGGAAAAATCTGCGATCACCAACTTGAAAAGGAGACACTCGTTTAGATTGCACATTGGTAAGTTTAGAAACAATTACTCTTTGACCATCCACAGCCTTCCAGCCATAAACAAGATAACCTGTGGTAAGTGTTAGCATAGTACCTGGCCATTGTCTGCAGGCAGTGCACATTAACTACTGTGATGGCTGATGATATTCTTTTTTTTTTTTTTTTTTTGAGACAGAGTCTCGCTCTGTTGCCCAGGCTAGAGTGCAGTCGTGCAATCTTGGCTCACTGCAACCTCCACCTCTGGGGTTCAAACGATTCTCCTGCCTCAGCCTCCCAAGTAGCTGAGATTACAGGCACCTGCAACCACGCCCGGCTAATTTTTTGTATTTTTAGCAGAGACAGGGTTTCTCCTTGTTAGCCAGGATGGTCTCGATCTCCTGACCTCATGATCCACCCGCCTCAGACTCCCAACCTGCTGGGATTACAGGTGTAAGCCACCTCACCCGGCCCTGATGGTATTCTTATTGCCAGTCTTTACTTTTGGGGATTTGGAATGTGTTCATGTTTCCCAAGTTCAGTGTGAAAAACTGAATTATCAACTTTTACCTTTCTTCCTTGGCAATAGTTGTGGTTTTGGTTTCTTCTCCTGTTCCTTATTTATATTTTGTGTACGCTACACAAAGCACATCCTTATACACACCATGGTCTCCCACGTTTTTTAAGTGTGGCCATATGTGTGCTTTGTAACTGGAACCCTCCGACTGGAGGTGCTGCTTGTGAAGTTAGGTCAGGCTGTCATGGAGGATCAGGGCCAAAGCAAATCTCTCTTGAATTTAAAGAGGATAATTTCTTAGGTGTTCTGTGGAGTCCACGAAGAAAAACAGGCTAGTGCACCCCCGTTGAGGGATTATTTCACCTTAGAGTGAGAAAGTGAGAAAAGCTGATTTGGGAAAGATTTATTGTTCATCTTCTGGAGAACTGTTACCCTGTATTCTCCACCGTAGTGTTCTCTTCCTCTTAATTCAAATCATGTTAAAATCACTTTGTCTTGTAAGGATTCTTTCCACAAATTGCATAGACCACCGGAAGCTGGAGCCTCAGGGTACTCAGCATTTAGTTTTCGGAGATCTCCAAGGAGACTGATGATTGTGTATATCTGCTCTTCAAGACAGCTTTGTTCAGGACACAGGAAATCCCAGCCTTAACACGGGGCTTAGGATAGTTCATGTTGTTACAAGGGCTGTTCTGGGTTCCTTTTACAATTGTGACTTCATGTCATGTGAGCCCCTCTGATCACCTTTCTTCTGACTTTAGGTAGGAACATTGCCCGGCCCTGGAAACTTATATACTATCGAGCAAAGAAGATGTTCGATGTCAACAATTACAAAGGCAGGTAAGAAAAGTCTCAGCAGCTTGAGACAGGACATTTCTCTAGTCTTTGCTGATACCGTAAATCAAGACATTCACAGCAGTGGATTAACAGTAAAAATAATGAAGCTTTGTGTGTGTGAAGCCAGATGGTGTGTCAAATGTGTGCATCTTCAAGGCCCTTTTCCATTCTCAGCTCTTTAGTAAAGGCTTAGTGACCTGTTTCCTGCATCTGCAGCTTTCTCTATACTTTTTCTTTAGCACTCTCCATACGCTGCCTCATGTGCTGTTACTCCTGTTTGCTGTGCTCTCTGCTTACTTTGTAATCTCCTTGTGAACCCAAACATCCCATCTTGACAGATGTTCCGTTCAGCACTTAGCAGACTGCTGTGGGTTTTTAGTAACTATTTGAAGGTGGAGGTAAGCGCTGGGATTATTGGGTCCGTTAAATGCAGTTCAGTGGTATCAACCCAGGGTGCTCAACCCGGCTGTCATTCTCTCCTTCCTTTTCCCCAAATACAATGTCCGATTATAATGTGCTTCCAACATTCCACATTTAAAAACAAACCAAACATAGACCAGGTGTTTGGGTTAGCACGTTAGCACTCTGCTCAAGGACAGGAGGAGAAGCGGGAAGGTGTTGGCTTGGATTCCAAGGGCCCCCCCAAAACTACCTTCTACTCAACTACTTGACCTTTCTCTGAGAGGCAGGTTTCTGAAATCTTCTGGTGGCAGTTGAGTTCTACTTAGCTCTGTGATTGTAAACCAAAACATAGATCATTACCTAAACTTCCAACATTGATGTCACCTCGGTTTCCTTTTTAAATTTTTTACTGAAAGAAGTCAGCCTTAGGTGAGGAAAGTTCATACACAGACTACCTGCCCTGCCTATTTTTCCCCAACTCCAAGGTTAGACAGTTGTGAATAGAACTTTAAGAAAAACCACTAAAGGTAACATTTTTTTTTTTTTTTTGAGACGGAGTCTCGCTCTGTCGCCCAGGCTGGAGTGCAGTGGCCGGATCGCAGCTCACTGCAAGCTCCGCCTCCCAGGTTTACGCCATTCTCCTGCCTCAGCCTCCCGAGTAGCTGGGACTACAGGCGCCCGCCACCTCGCCCGGCTAGTTTTTTTGTATTTTTTAGTAGAGACGGGGTTTCACCGTGTTCGCCAGGATGGTCTCGATCCCCTGACCTTGTGATCCGCCCGTCTCGGCCTCCTTAAGTGCTGGGATTACAGGGTTGAGCCACCGCGCCCCGGCCTAAAGGTAACATTTTAAATGGGATTTCCGAGAATGCTTTTGGCAGGTTAATGGTGGCAGCTGAGATAATATATTTCCACCTGTGACACACATAGAGCAATGCACTTTTTAGAGTAATTTTTAGAGTCATTCTAATAATTTATCAGTTCATCTATTTGTACTACATTATTTGTGTTGTGGTGATTATTTACCCTTAGAATATTTTTATAACATGCAATTTCTGACTGAAAAAAAGTAGAAAGTAAAAAAAATCAAACAGTTAGTATTATTTTAATTTTGAATTTTTGTTGTTGTTTTGTTTTGTTGAGACAGAGTCTCGCTCTGTCACCCAGGCTGGAGTGAAATGGCGCGATCTCGGCTCACTGCAACCTCCGCCTCTCGGGTTCGAGCAATTCTCCTGTCTCAGCCTTCCGAGTAACTGGGACTATAGGCACCCACCAACACACCCAGCTAATTTTTGTATTTTTGGTAGAGACGGGTTTCACCATATTGGTCAGACTGGTCTTGAACTCCTGACCTCAGGTGATCCGCCTACCTCAGCCTCCCACAGTGCTGGGATTACACGTGTGAGCTACCGTGCCCGGCAATTGTTTGTGGTATTTTTTTTGGGTTTTTTTTTGTTTTTTTTGAGACGGAGTCTCACTCTGTCGCCCAGGCTAGAGTGCAGTGGCGCGATCTGGGCTCACTGCAACCTCCACCTCCCAGGTTCACGCCGTTCTCCTGCCTCAGCCTTCCGAGTAGCTGGGACTACAGGCACCCACCACCATGCCTGGCTAATTTTTTTGTATAGTTTTAGTAGAGATGGGGTTTCACTGTGTTAGCCAGGGTGGTCTCTATCTCCTGACCTCATGATCCACCCGCCTCGGCCTCCCAAAGTGCTGGGATTACAGACAGGCATGAGCCACCACACCTGGCCTTTCTTTTTCTTTTCTTTTTTTTGAGACAGCGTCTCACTCTGTCACCAGGCTGGAGTGCAGTGGTGCAATCTCAGCTCATTGTAACCTCCACCTCCTGGGTTCAAGTGATTCTCCTGCCTCAGCCTCCCAAGAGGCTGGGACTATAGGCGTGTGTCACCACACCCAGCTAATTTTTGTATTTTTAGTAGAGACAAGGTTTCACCATGTTGACCAGGCTGATCTTGAATTCCTAACCTCAAGTGATCCTCCTGCCTCGGCCTCCCAAAGTGCTGGGATTATAGGCTTGAACCACCATACCTGACTGACAGCCATGATTCTTAGTAGTGAAGAATAGACCAGGCATAGTGGCTCACACCTGTAATTCCCAACACTTTGAGAGGCTGAGGCAGGCGGATCACTTGAGGTCAGGGGTTCGAGACCAGACTGGCCAACATGGTGAAACCTTATCCCTACTAAAAATACAAAAATTCACTGGGTGTGGTGGTGCACGCTTATAATCCCAGCTCCTTGGGAGGCTGAGGTGGGAGGATTGCTTGATCCCAGGAGGTGGAGGTTGCAGTGAGCTATGATCATGCCACTGTGCTCCAGCCTGGGTGACAGAGCCAGACCCTGTCTCAAAGAAAAAAAAAAAAAAAGAAATTGTATTTTTCTAGGATTTCTAGAATTATGTTGCCTTAGTGATGACATAAACCACCATTCCTATTCAGATAGGAATCTGAAGATGTTGTGAAGATTGCTTTTTATTTACTTATTTAGGTTTTTAATCTTAAAATCCATTTACAATATTATAGTGCTTTTTTTAGTACTTTAATGTGTGTATTTTTATGTAGGATGAATGCACTTTACATTTCTTAAGTAGTTACATATTTACAGTAAGCCATTTGTTGTATGTTTATGGAATGCCTGTTGTCTGTCAAGCATTATGGATACCATAGTGTATGAAACCGACAAGGTCTCTGCCCTCATGGAACTTCCCTTCTTGAGCTGTGTCTTCCAGCGTGGTGACCAGCAGCCTCCTGGGCCTGTCAAACATTTGAAATGTAGTTAGTCCACATTGAGATGCTGTCAGAGTAAAACACATGCTGGGTTTTGAAGGCTTCAGATGAAGAACCGAATGTAAAATACATCATTGATATTTTTTGATACTGATGACATGTTGAAATGATAGCATTTTTAATATATTGAGTTCAGTGAAATATATTATTTTTTGTTTTTGTTTTTCATCACGCAACATGCCCATATAAAAAATATATTCTTAAAGTTTCTTTTATT